AGGGGCAGATACTGGCATGGAATCGTCGACATGGGCGGACAATGGGCGTAACGGCGGCTCACCTTGTGCCTGAAGAAACTCCACACGTTGCCGTCACCGCGGCCATTTTAGAACAAAGCAAAATAACATAGTTATGGTAGATGGTCGAGATATAGTGATGGTAATGATGAAGGAAGAGCACGAGAGATAGAGCGCATTCGCTCCCCAGAGCGCCTTCCATTATCATTCTTTAAATGTAGCAGCAAGCATCGTTTCGTTATTAAAACTAAATTCCAACACTACTGCTGAACATGATGATATTTTCACATGCTCCTCATCAACGCTCTTCCTCCCCCTTTCCAATCCTATTCGCTAGACCTCTCTGATGTGCATTGCCGAAGTCACTTCGTAGAGCTCACTTGGCGGTCGCCCCAAACGTAGAGAATGAAGCTTCGTACTTGGCTGACTCCTCCTCGATGAGCTTTGCGTGCTCAGGACTGCGAACAGTGACCTTGACAGGGAACGGCTCATGGACGGTCTGATGATTGAGTCTCTGGTCATCGATCGGCCCGTTCTTGACATGTCCCTCGTTAGCGACTCGTGCATTCCGAACCAAGATGAGGAAAAGATAGGAGGAACGCACCGGACTCATTTCAAAACAACAAAGCAACCGGGCAAACGCGATGAATAGGGCTTGCTCAGCCACTTTCCAGCCGACGCAGATGCGACGTCCGCCCCCAAAACCCCAAAAGTTGTGAGTCGTATGCGCTTCGGAACCGTCCATCCACCTCTCCGGCTGGAATTCCCGCGCATTATCAAACTCGCTCGACAGCGCGATCGAGTTGATCAAGAAGCTCGTACCAGCCGGGATAAAGTGTCCATGGAACTTCAAATCCTCCGTGAGCTGGTGGGGCGGAATGATGGGGACAGTCGGCCGCCAGCGCAACACCTCTTTGATCATGGAGGCAATGTAGGGCATTTTGGACAGATCAGACATGCATGGCAGCCTGAGGGATTCGCCATCCATGCACACACTATCAACCTCGTCGCGAGCCCGTTTCTGGGCTTCCGGCCGCGTCACCATGGCCATTACGAAGGTGTTAATTGACATGCGCGTGTTGTCACCGCCGGCTGCCATGACGGACGTAGCTAAGTACATGGCCTCTTCGTCGTCGCCCGTGTATTTTACATTCGGATGGAGGAGGACGTCGCGGACGAACGAGGGCGGGGCGGAGCCGTTGGTCACGGCGGTTTTGATGGGTTTCCACCATTCCGCGAAGACGTGATGATGGAAAGAGCCCATGTCTGCCCAAAAACGGCGCCAGGGCTGGAGAAAGGGAGGAAGCTTGCTAACTGCCGGAAAGAAATCCACCCAGCTCCGATTGATGGAGGTGACGAATTCCATCGTTACCCGCTGGTAGTCGTCGAGCTGCGCTTTGGTCTTGTTCAGGGGGTAACCCATGACGATCCTGTAGAGCACCGAGGTGGAATATCTATAGTTGTGAGCGTACCACAGACTGGGCTCTCGAAGATAGCCGCGGAGCATGTCAACGCTCTCGAGCTCCTGCATCCCGGCGTAGACCTTGAGGTTCGAGCCGCTGAGCAACTGATGCATCACACGACGTCCCTCTCGCCATTCCTGTTCTTGTCTTATCACAGTGCGCTTTCCGTTGCTAATCAGATCACTCGCAACGGGCATGTGGGGTCTCTCGTTGGTGATCTTCCCGCGCTTGGCTATGAGTTCCGTGACAACGCGGTCAGAGTTGAGCACAACCCATGTCTGGGACCCCATATGCAGCGTCACCATCTCCCCATACGGTATCAAAGAGGTCAGCTGCCGGACAGTTAAATCAATACACCTTTCTTCTCCTCATGTTCGACGGATTTCCCAAAAACTCACCCAGTCATTGAAAGAAACGGCTCCGCGGCGGCGGGCTTGCATCATCTGTAGCAAGTTTCCCAAAACCGGCACGCCTGGTGGCTTTGGTGGCATTGCCCACTTTTTCGTTGACCATTTCAAGTCGGTAGGTTGCAAGAAGTGAACAAGGACTGCGCAGCTGCTACATAAAACGAGAAAGAGACCCCAATAGGGGTAGCACGAGTTTTCGATGGGGTACATGCTAGCAGCCGACAGGCTAGGAGACGAGGTAGCGTTGGTAGTTTTGGAGCTCTTTCGAGGCCTTGAGAAAATTGTGTATGGTCGGGGTAGTCAACGGGCTAATGCCAAGACAGTCAGTCGTAGTCGTTACCTTTAAAACAAAGTATATGCCGTGAACTGTTGCCTAAGGACGTCCTTACGGCCTACTATCGCTTGCATCCAATTAGGCAAATGAACCAGATGGGGTAGCACCCGTGTCACCTCCGCGAAGCGAAAGCCGCACTCATGCCATGCAGTACTTCGTATGCACCTTTTGCGTGTTAGTCTTGGCAGCTAGTCCGCCTTGACAGCTGTAATGCAGGTAAGACGATCAGGCGGCCCGCCGGAGAAACTGGCCTAGGATGTAAAATGTTCGTTCTTGCGAAAGAAACCGGGATGTCACCAAGAAAGATAAAGGTGACGACAGTTCCAGCATCTGGAGGTTTGTTACTACAACGAACAACCCCTCGTCCTCCCAATCTTTTTCTCCTTGGTTCATGAATTGAACACACCATCCTACCAATCTCTTTCTATTCGCAGCCCCAGTCCATACGCCCGCTCCCTCGACGCCATGGGTGCTCCCGTTAAAGGCTACAGCAAGCCAAGTCATGGCATTTTTCCTTTCCTCCCAGACGCATGGGTTCCGTACGCCGAACTCATGCGTCTCGACCGGCTGGCGGGGTTCTGGGCCTTTTACTGGCACTACCTGATCGGTCTTGGATTCGCCATCAACCTCCCCCCCTTCTCGCGCGACATGGACCTGCAAACGCTCGCACTCATCGCCGGATATATGGGTGTATGGACCACCGTTTTCCGCGGCATGACCTGCACGTGGAATGACAACCTGGATCAAGACTTTGATCGCCAGGTCGATCGCTGCCGCGTAAGGCCCATCCCCAGGGGTGCTGTCTCGACCTTGCAGGCGCATCTCTTCACCGCTATGCAGATTGCAGCTGGAGCCGCTATCCTGTATCCTGTCGGCCACTCGACGCTAATTCACGCTGCCGTGGACGGCATACTCTTGTTCATTTACCCCCTGCTGAAGCGCTGTACAAACTTTCCCCAAGTCGAGCTGGGATTTGGACTGTCGTATGCAATATTCATGGTGACTTCAATGGTCGGGAAGGATCCGTTGGCGCCGCTGTTTGACCCGTCGTTGGCGTTTTCAGACCGCGTGGCCAAGGTGATTGAGTCGCCCCTGGCCCAGTCGGCTGTGTGTCTATACGCCGCAGGCATTCTGTGGTGTGTCACTTTTGATACCCTCTACGCCCATCAAGATTACCTCGATGATCTGAAAGCTGGTGTCATGGGACTCGCCGTACGACTGGGAAGGAAGGGGACGAAGCCAACCCTCTACGTGGTTTCCGCTGTGCAGGTCGCTTGTCTCGCATTGGCAGGCCATCTGGCAGGGTTTGGCAACGCATATTATGCCATATCCTGTGGTGGGACGGGTTTACTGTTGGTATGGACGATTTGGGTTACCAACTTGGAAGATAGCGCCAGTTGCGCCTGGGCATTTGGTCCTGGAAGTGCGTATGCCGGCGCCTTCGTTTCTGGTGGGCTTTTGGTTGAGTTCCTGTCGAAGAAGTACGGATACTGACGGATTATGTAACATGTCAACACTGGGTTCTAGGGGTCGTTAGAGGGAGTTGTGACGAATGTAGGACTCGGATTCAATTTTATATGGGGAAATAAAAGTCTTTAAGATTGTAACGGCTTACATACTTGGGTTAGAATAGAAAAACAATGATGGGGTTTCGGGCAAGATAATGTGGATCTGCCCATAGTGAGTGTGATGATATTTTTCTCTATTTCTCTATGCGCGCAATAAAACCTATCGACCTGGCATACCTCGTAGACTGTCTACAGGAATGACAAAGGAGTACTCAGTGCGGAGAGATGCCGTTGGTCACAATCCCGTTAGTCGGTCGCTCCTGCTCGTTCACCTCTCTAAGACTCTCCAGTACGATATGGTACAAGCGTCCTGACCTGATGGACTCATAGACGCGCGTATTGTACACCCCAATGCTTGGGGTAACACCGTCTGTCGTCACGGCGTCGGTCGAAGCCAAGTGCTCCTCACTCAAGAATGGGATTTCAAGCTCGTGGCGAAGGAAGCGGTACATGCGTCGCGAAGCCTGGCCAAGGAAGGGTGTGGCGTTGGGTGGGGCGTCGGTTCGGCCCTCCCGCTCGATGGTTCGCAGGTCCAAGGCTTGGCACAGCGCCAGGAGGTGGGCGGCCGCCAACTGCGATAAGACGTCAACGGCGTCGAGAGTGTAGCGGGCGGACACGAGGGCCAGGGAGTTGAGTGATTGGTTGCCCATCTCGGCCGTCTGCACGTGCGAGCCAACGGGGTTAGCCAGGAAGCCCAGCTCCGAGGTCAGGGCGGCAACGACCACATCGATGCCCTTGAACAAGAAGGAGTGGTTTGCGTCGTCGGAGCACAAGTTAGGCGGCAGGCCCCAGTTGGTGGCGGGGTTCATCATCTCGGTGCACTGGGCAAAGAGCATGCGGCCGATGGTCTGAAGGCCCTGGCGCAGCTTCTCAGCCGCAGACGTGACGGCACGTGCCTGGAAGTTGCCGCCGTGATATACACGGCCTGCTGCGGCGTCGATGAGCGGATTGTCCGTTACGGAGTTCAGCTCCACCGTCAGCTGGTGGTGGGCGAGGCAGAAGTCGTCCAGCACGGGGCCAATCCACTGGCTGGCGGTGCGCAACGAGTAGCGGTCCTGACGCAGCGTCGCCACACGGTGGTCGTCGTGGCGGTGGAGCAGCTGCGAGCCGGCAAGGAACGCCTTGATGTTGCGCGCGCTGTCGACCTGGCCGGCGTGGGGGCGCACCCGGGCGATGAAGGGCTCGAAGCTCTCGTCGCTGCCGCCTAGGGCCTCGACGCTCATGGCCGTCAGCACCTGCGACAGCGCCGCGAGGTGGAGGCTCTCGTGCGCCGCGAGAGCTGCCACCCCGGCCGACACGGCGGTGCCATTGACTATGGCAAGGCCCTCCTTGGCGTGCAGTTGGATGGGCGCGATGCCGGCTGCGGAAAGGGCCTCGTCAGCCCGCGTCACCCGTCGCGCCCCGTCAACGTCCCGTGGGCCAGCAAAGGCCGTGGCGCATGGCTTGCCTTGCATCAGCGCACCGATCCAGGCGAGCGCGCTGAGATCCCCGGAGGCCGAGATACTTCCGCGGACCGGGATGCGCGGCACCACGTCCTTGTTAAGCAGTGCCTGCAGCGATTCTGCAATAACGACCCGGATGCCTGACGCCCCGCCCGCAAGCGAGTTGAGGCGGATGAGCATGGACGCGCGCGCCCACGATTCTGGCATGCAGGTAGCCGCAAGCGGGTCGTTGAGTGGCAGCTTCACGACGGGCTGCTGCTTGCCGTCCGCGACAATACCGCACGTCAGGTGACTGATCAGGCTCTGCTGCACCCTCTCAACGTCGTCGCTTCTGGTGTCGGCGCTTCCCCCGAATCCCGTGTTAACCCCGTAGATGACGTCTCCCTTGGCTATCTTCTCCGCGATGATCTTACTGCACGCGTCCACGGCCTTGATGGACTCGGGCGTGAGCTTCACCTGCACCAGGTCTCTCGAGACTGCAACCACGTCGGCGATGGTCAAGCTCCCGCCGTCAACTGCCAGCATTTTCTTGGCCGACGAGCAAGGATCGCGCCAGTGCGATAGGACCAAATCGTTAGAAGACCATACTGGGCTGGCCATGTTGATTGGAACGCAAGAGGAAGAAAGAGGTATCAAATGTCCTCTATGGTACACCCTTCCACTTGAACACGGCGATCTTTGCTTCTTACTTATACGGTACCTCAGCTGCCGCGGAGGTAAAGGTAGCCAATGCAGAGCATCATGTCTCACAAGGCCTAGCCAAGGTGAAGGAAGGTGAAAGAAGGCAATGCCTACTGTAGAGCCCGTGGAACATCTACAACGCAGTGAGAACGTACCTTTGTCTTTCGAGACCCACCAATTGGACGTCGACCAGTTAACCATGACCATATCCGCACTTTCTGTAACGTTGTATAAAACACGATAATCGTTTAACCGTCGCATCCTATCCCTAGGGGGAGGCCTAAAGACGTAGCGGGTCTTGGCGACATCGAAGTTACATGCACTCATTCCAACGTATACACGCAGGCCGCAAGTGAATGCAGGGTAGGGGACACAGGTGTCCCGGTATTGTACTCCAGCAGCGCCGGAAACCTATGAACCCACCCGCGTCAGCACTGGATGCTCTATCGTACAGACATGTGGTCTATGGCCCCCACCCCACACCCAGCCGCATACAATCTACCTACTTAATTGAAACAATGCAGTGACTTTAGCGTCTATCTCCCCCACGAGCCGTAAGAATGAGCTCTTCTCATGCACTATCGTCAGTGCATCGCGAAATACGAGCTTCCTGTCGCACCGCATATGTACATGCAGGTCAGCAAACTTGCACATCTTCCTACTAACCTACTTGATGCTGTGCTTGATGCTGTACCTCTCCCGTTTGACTCACTGTTCTGACGTCGCAAGCCCGCCACACTAGAGAGACAATGTGGAAGCATGGAGATCAGTCAACTGTAACATGTGACAACCGAGTATATCCCTCGATCGGAGTAACTCAGGTCCGCTAGTCTCACATCTCAAGGTGCCACTTGTAAAGCCCGGTTCACTTTCACGATACCTACACGTCAAAGACTTTACGCCTCCACAAGCCAATTGTCCTGCGAACCGCTTCACTCGCTCCCTGGGACCATTACCAAGTTCAAGATGGTCAGCGCCGAAAGAAAACTCACTTGGCTTGTGACAGGCTCAAGCAATGGTATCGGGCTGGCTCTGGTAAGGTACATCTTGACCACCGGGGACAATGTCATTGCGACGTCTCGAAATCCAAGCAAGACCCCCGAACTGGTCAAAGAGATCGAATCGCACCCCAACGGCAAATGGATTGCACTGGACATCTCCTGGTCTCAGGAAAACATCACCGAAGCTATTGGGTTAGCCGATGCATGGTTTGAAGGTGGGATTACCGCCATCGTTAACAATGCCGCATTCGCCGTTGCGGGAGCCATCGAAGACATCCCCGAGGAGGATGCAAAAGCCGAATTCGAGACGAATGTATGGGGCACACTGCGTGTTTGCAAAGCCATACTGCCCAGGATGCGCCAGAGGGGCAGTGGTACTATCGTGCAGATAAGCAGCGTTCTGGGCCTTGCCGTCTTCCCAGCCCTCGGCATGTATTCCGCGTCCAAGTTCGCCCTCGAAGGTAAGCGCCCATCCCATCTCTTGCCACGAGGCTCTCTTGACTGATTTGTTGCGACTAGCTCTCTCAGAGGCGCTTTCACACGAGACGGGCTCGTTTGGAATTCGCACACTGATAGTAAACCTCGGTACCTTCCAGACAAACTTTCTCGCTCCGGGTGCCATGCCAGTCGTCGAGCCTTCAGAGCCGTACAAAGCCCCACACGTCGTCGCCACGACTATTCAATCCGAGAAAAGCAAACACGGAAAGCAATTGGGAGATCCTGAAAAGGCGGCGAAGATTATACATGACGCCGTGAGTGGCAACGACCCAAATTTGGCAAACGTCCTGAGATTGCCATTGGGCGTCGATGGTTGGGAGGCCGCGACGGCTCACATGGACCAAGTGCGGAGCGATTTCAATACCTGTAAAGACGTTGCCTATAGTACAAACTATCATGTACCAAGGCGTGCCTCTCGTAGTGCCCGGGTAGGGTTCAGCGAACAGTTGTTCTGACAGCCTTGGCATAGTAAATAATTTGTTGCAAGTGTCCTTAATGTGGCACTAACAATGCCCTTGTTGCTGAACAGAATTGCCTTTGCGCTGTCTGCTCTCATGTAGCCACTTGTCTAGGTTCTTGTCGCTAGTCCTCTTGACCAAATTTGGGACCTTATCCTTGACAGCGTTACAAGTAGAGAGTTAGCCATATCGTCCACATTAGTGAGCTAGAGCGGGTATCCTCGCTCCTCTGGCTTTAAACATACTAGACAATTACCAGCTCTTCTGTACTTGTCAGTTTATTGAGTAGAGCGTGCAATCGCGTCGAGAAGAGCTGCCGGAAAGTCGGTCACTAAGTGTCCTTTAAAGCACTCTGTAGATAGCTGAAGCGCGTCGCTGGGAGAGTGTCGTGTCTTCTTTGATAGCTTAGATAGCACACTATATATCTGCTCCATCTAAGGGCTTCCTTGCGTTCTTGCGGTGAGACATTGTAGGTCGTGTGAAGTTTGGTGCGGTCTTGATAAAAGTGAGCGGTTCGCCCGGGTGGGCGGCTCGCCCAGGAAGTACAATCGTTATATGCTCTACGATGTGAAACATCCGTCTACGCCCCCTTTTAGCCTGCAAACCTTTAAAGGCTTGCCAGTTTGTTGGCTTCCAGCTATCCGTGTTACCTTTGACTGCAAATACCTTAACACTATTACGATCATCCATAGTCAGAGACCTCTCAATGCTGACCATGCTTGATCACATCGCTGATCCTAGAAGACATGGTAATTTCAAGCTATGCCACCATCTTCAGTAAAGTTTCCAACGCTAGTTGACAAGTTAGTCAGATACAGCAATGCCAAGAAGACACTTACATTCAGAAAGAAGGACCCGATTAAAGCTAGCGCGGAGCCAACGACCATGACGAGGAACACATTGCGGAGTGCAAACGTGATTTGATCCACTACTTGAACCTGTAATTCAGAAGGAAGGCTCTTGTAGATCGCACTATGGGTTCCTGTCGTCAATTGGATGACGTCGCTGAACGGCATATCAGGCATTATCTGGCTAATCTTTTGCGCCCCAGTGTTTTGGAATATCGTCCCTGATATGCTGAGAATCACAATGAAACCCATCTGTTGGCCTGCTCAGATGTCAGCACCGCTTTTTACTTCTGTGCATGTGTATTACCGATGGATAAAAAGCTTATAGCATCGCTAAGCTCGGAGGTTGGAAGAAGTTTCGGGATGACTGAGAAGCCTGCGGAAAAGAAAGCTCCACAGCCACTTCCGATGAGTAGCGTGGCACCATAAATATATGCCTCGGAGGTTGACGCATCGATGACACCTTTTTGCAGTTAGCCACCATGCTCGTTACAAGATGGAAGTTATTACTCATGAGGGCAGCCCCGACCAAAATCATGGCAGTCCCAACGACATACCATGGCATATGATAACCCCATTTCGGCATCAAGGCTCCGTTTAGAATGGAAAAGAAGATCAGGCCGGCAAGGAAAGGCATGAGCCTCGCACCAGCTTTGAGAGGCCCATCGTTGCGCGTAAATTGGAACAGCAAGGGGATGTAATAGAGTGTCGTCACCATGCATCCCGAGGCCATGAATAGTGCGAGCTCCAGCAGGTTGAGCTCCAGTCGCTTCATCAAATGCAGAGGGTACAGTCGATCTCGTAGCGTGACTGTGGGATGATAAATTGTGACCAACAGGAAGACAATGAGGAGAACGCCCGAGAGAGTCCAAAGCACAATCTCTGGCGCGCTGTTCCACGAGTACACAGTCCCACCGAAGGTAAGACCCAGAGACAAACAGGTTGCGCCACCCACAAAAATGACTATTCCAAGCCAATCTTGCCTCATCATCTTCTCTTTAAAGCTTAAATCTTTTGCTGGATCAATATTAGGCAGATACAAGATCAGCCACGGCGCAGTAAAAGCCGCGAAGACAATGTTGATGTAAAATGCCCATCGCCATGTCGCACTGCTCTGTGCAAATGCCCCGCCGATGACAGGGCCCACGACGGAGCCGACGGACCATGTAGCAAGCACGCCCGAGATATAGATGGGTCGCTCGCGCATGCTAGTGGTTAAAGAGACAAAGGTTACGGCGCCCGCGTAGCATCCGCATGCGCCAATGCCCTGCAGGACTCGTCCGATGATGAAGGCGTCCATGCTGGGAGCGGCGCCGCAGACAGCGCTACCTAGCTCGAAGAGAGTGACGACACCAAGGAACAACCACTTGACATTGAAGACGCCGAATGCTTTGCCGCTATCTACTGTTAGCTGATATTGGACTATATCGCTGGGTCGACTTACATGGGTAGTATTGACAAAGCTCCAAGAAACATGCCCACCCCAATCCATGGTAACTTTTCGGTCTCGCCAAATGTTTCGATTATCTGAGGCTGAATGGCTGCAACCTATGTACAGTTAGAGAAGTAATGCGTGTGCGAAACGCACAACTGACAATAGTGCCGTCGAGCGCATAGAAGAGCACGGTAGAGAGCAAAGAGCTGTAGGCCAGGAACCACTTGAAGCCGTGCATGGTGCGCACTGGCCCTGGTTCTTCATCTTGCTGAAGGTTCGTTTGCAACTGTGCGCTAGCTTCTGGAAGCTTCCCTGGAGAAGATGGTAAGGTGGGTTCGAGGTCGTGAGTAGACATATCGAACTCGTGACGGTGCAAAGTACTATGCAGTGATCAATCAACGGAAGAGGAATTCGGTAGTTGCTGTTTTGATGAGAGCAGCCAGACACTCCGAAAAGTTAGCGAGACACTTCCGCTAAAAATCTAATACTCACCCTACTTCGCGGTGTGTTTTAGTCTTCATTGCCGGATCTCGAGCGAAAAGTGTGAGGTGGTTTTGGGGCTAGTGGGGGAAGACGTACCTGGTAACATCACCCAAAACAATGTTTCAATTTTATGCAAGGGCGCTGATCAATCGTCAAAATGGCAATTTTGTGAAACGAGGTAGGTGGTGCGTGCGCTGCCTGAACGCGTGTGTGTAAGTGTGTGTGACTTCTCCTATGGCCATGCACCCTGTGGGTATGGGCCGTTGCGATTCGCCAGCTCTGAATAGTCTAGCGTTTGCCTTGCTTATCCAAACATTATTCCTACTGGCAATACGCCTATCGATTGCCTGTTGATGATTTGAATTTCGCCGTCTTGGATCAATTCGTCGCTGCCTGCGAAGACCTTCTCGACCCACAGTACACCTTTGAGAACCTGCAAGATCTCGTCTCACTGCTGCAACTGCATGCTCATCATGACTGCTGCTAGTGTGGAGACGTCCTGGCTCCGCTCAGTGAGGTCTTTTGTTTCGATTGCGGCAAAGTACAGCGTCCAGACAAGCAGCGGCTTAAGCTCGTTCCAGTCTGCCCTGTTCTTGGTAAGGACAGGCAAGAGGTAACGCGATATGGCTGACATCCACACAGGCGAATGTCCTAGTAGTCTCCAAAATGGGGACAGGAACAAAAGCGAGCCGAGACGAGCGACTTCCTCCATGACCTGCTCTGGATCGTTACCGTTGCCGTGCGGCGAGGGCCGAATCGCTAAAAGACGATACATGGCAGGCTCTATCAAGCTGCCACTACCGGTAGTATTTACCAGCATCAGCTGCTCATCGTTGAAAGCCTGGTCGAGCGAGAGAGCTGAACGACGTCATCAGATGCCGAGATCCAGTCTAGCTGCATCGGCAGCCGTTCCTTCCACACCAACGACACAAGTGCAAGTGATTGTGGCAAGTGTGGAGGCGAATCAGACTTAGTTAACCATTGGAGTGGCATAACGTACTCCACAAGCGAGTGGCTCACACAAGCGAGTGGCTCACTTTTGCCAAGACCACACCAAACTTCACTCTACCTACAATGCCTCAACGTAACAACACAATCAAACCCTCAAAGGAAGCAGGAATACAGCTTACTCTTCAGGCTATCTATTAAGACGCAACACTCTCTTAGCAACGCGCTGCAGCTATCTACAACGTGTCTTAAAGGACACTTAGTTACTAACTTACTAGAACCTCTCTACAACATAATTGCAAGCCTAATATAATTAAGATAACTAGCACTAAAGAGGAGGTAATTATTTAGCACGTGTTAAGGCTAGATAAGCAAGGATTCTTACCCTAACTCACTAATGTAGAGGGCATAGCTAATTCTCTACTTGCTAAGTGCTACTAGACCCCTGTTAGCAAGAACTAGGCTGCTAACTTTGTTAAACATTAGCTAGAGCTTAAAGTTAAGTTTAATTGCAAGTATAACTATAAGAGAGCGCTGTGTAAGGATCCTAAGGTGATTAGTGACTAGTTCTAGCTTATAGAGAATACTAAAGCTAAGTATAGTATCCTAGATAAAGACACCTACAACTTTAATTAATCTAGCTTTATAATAGGCGTTATATCTACTAGTGCTGTTGTTACAGGCTCTGAGCGTTAAGGGAGACCAAAGACAGTGTAGCAGGGTGTAACAGAGTAGGCGCCCTGCCCTCGAAATCAATACTACGTGACTTCTCTGCCTATACCAAAAGGTAAGCACAAGAATACTTAAGCAAGTGATCGTTGCGTAGTATAATATATATAGACAATAATAGTGCTAGCCAGCTAGCTTTGCCTCTAGCTGCTATGAGCGCTATGCCACCGTGCCACGTGTCGTGTTCGTGCATAGTCGTTACACAGGGCGACTAAGAGTGGACTAGCATTATCTAAGGCATCTGCGCAAAGGGCTAGTCTATCCCACCCTTTATTATCCTCTCTAGCAAGCACCACCTCTTAGCCTAGTATAAGGAGCCTAGTATACCTAACAACTAGGTTATTAGTGTCTCTAATAATAGCTAGACTAATAATAAGCTTAGAGTTACGTAGTTAAAGCACTTTAATAAGCACACAAAGGCGCGCACTATTAGTAGCTACTAACTGCTTATTCTAGATAGCTATAAGAGCTATAACTTAGTTGAATTCTACTAGTACTGTGAGGAGCACAAGATTATTACTCTGTGTATGCCCCTACACTTATCCTATCTGCTACAGCTGCTTAACGTGGGTTGTTTCTCCCCATTAAAGAAGGCCTATGGCCGCCAAGCTGAGCAGCTGATGCGGAGCAAGATTACTTGCATTACTTAACTTAAGTTCTTGCTGTGCTTTAAAGCTGCTTTTAATGCTTTAATTACTAAGAGTAACATCTAGGGAGAATTTAGAGGCGCTAGCCTGGTCCTGTTTAACCTAGAGGCTGTGATATTAAAGCTTAAAGTATAGCTACGCACGCTAATGCTACCTATTGTAGACAACAGCACGTGGGAGTCTAAGACACTAAGCAACACCCTAGAATTTAGGTCTTAATTAAAGCTAATTTAAGAGAGGATCTAGAGACACGCTAATAGCTTACTAATATTAATAGTTAACACCCTTAATTAGCTTACTAAAGGCGCAGAGCTAATAGCGCATTTACTAGTTTTAGTGCGCAACTAGGTTGCTAACCTTTAGGTAGCTAATAAGGCTGCTACACGCTGTAAATTACACAAAAGAAAGCAATTATAGCAAGATAGGGTATTAACCTTTGCTAAGGGAGTGTGGCTAACTACTCTAAAGGAGTTTAAGGCCTGTAGTGATGGGAAGAAGGCAAAGAAGAGAGGAGGCGCTAATAGCAGCACTTAGTTATTAAGACACTGTAGCATGTGTAGCAAGACAGGGCATAACAGGACAGCGTGTAAGAAAGATGCGCAAAGTACTATAGATTAGTGCAATATACTGTGTAGTACATGATATTGTTGTTGTGTGCTGTAATGTTGTAAAGTAGTTGTAGTGTTGGTGTAGTCTTGGCAAAAGTGAGCCACTCGCTTGTGTGAGCCACTCGCTTGTGGAGTACGTTACCGGTAAATCTACTTTCCAATAACGTACCTCACGGGCGAGTGGATCACCGAGCGAGTAGATCACTTTTGCCAAGCCCCCACCAAACTTCTTTGGCGCTGCACAGCGTAGCACAGCCTGTAGTATTATTTGGAGTCTACTCCTACATCATTCTTGCACGTTCGCGCGTTGTGCCTAGTCTAATTGCACTGTCCCCACTATCTTTGGATGGCTCACCTACTTTAGCGCGCACCCGCTTACTTACCTTCTTACTATTACTACGCGCCCTAAACTCCTTTAGAGTCGTTATTTGCAACCTATCCTTAACTATTAGGGTACCTTCTGCCTTAACTTACTTTCTTTTATACAATTTACAGCGTGTAGCAGCTGCATTAGCTGCTTAAAGCTTAGCTTATGCGCAATTATTGCTTGCCCCTTTGAGACCTTCTCAAACACTTTAACTATAGACATAGGCAAGCTATTTATATGCCTCTAAATCCTTGTCTTTACAAGCGTAGATTGAAACCCAAGTTCTAGGGTGTTGCTCACGGTTTGCGACTGCCAGGGCTTGTTGTTAACAGGGAGTAGGTGTAACGACGCGCTGCGAACAATGACCCGATACTATTAGGGTACGGTCCAGCGACTCATGACCATGGCCCTTATCGCATGGCATAAGGTTGCACTAAACTGCCTCTAAACCCTTACATATAAGGAGCAAGGAACTGTAGTATAGTAAAGTAGTTTTTCTGTATCCTTTTATACAAGACCTATAGGTGTAGAGAATATATCCTAGTGTTCGTATCATCCCAGCACTCCCATATGCCTTGTAGCGGATTCATACCTATTCTGGATATCTCTCTTCTTGCCTGCGTCGTTACAGTAGGCTGGCGGATGGGTAGGGTAGGATTTTTTTTGTTTTTGCTTCTAGCTCCTTAACTAGTAGAAATACGCTTATGTAATGTATATTTCGACAGATTCGCCTAGTATTGCGCTTTCTATTAAAAAAACTACCCAACTTGGCCGACTATTAACTGAGTTATTAAGCCTACCTAGCAAAAGCCTACCTAGGATGGGTATGCTCGCTAGGTACCCCCCCCCTTTTTTTACTGTCTTTTAGATTTAGCAGCCATAATATAAGAGGTATAAGGAAATAATATAACGTACCCCACGGGCGAGTCGGACACACGGGCGAGTCGGACACTTTTGCCAAGACCCTACTAAACCTCACCCTATTATGGCCCAAAACACCACACTCTGGCGCTGCAAGGTGCAGTACAGCTTAGAATATCATTTAGAGACTACTTCTGTATCATTCTTGCACGTTCGCGCGTTGTGCCCAGTCTGATTGCACCGTCCACAGCGTTGTTGGGAGGGCTCACCCACTTCAGCGCGCACCCGCTTCTTTGACTTCTTTCCATCACCACGTGCCCCAAACTCCTTTAGAGCTGCTATCTGCTGCCCTTCCTTAACTGTAAGGGTCCCTTCCTTCTAGATTCGCTTTCTTTTGCGCGATTTACGTTCTGTGGCAGCTGCTAGAGCTGCGTGAAGCTCAGCGTTCTCCTGTTGCGCCAAAACTAGCTTGTGCGATAGAATCGCTCCCCCCTTTGCGTAGTGCTCAAGCGCGCTCAGCACAGAATTGGGTGAGCTACCCTGCTGCTTCTTATACTTCTCTTGAATTAGAGTTAATTGCGACTAAAGTTCTAGGGTATTGCTAGGGGTTTGCAACTGCTAGGGCTTGTTATTATTAGGGAGTTATAGTGATAGAGTGCACAGCTTTACATTAAGCCCTATTATAACCTATTCTAGGTTAAAGGGGACTAGTCTAGCACCTTAGAACCCTCCTTAGATGTTGCTTAAGGTGAATACAGCATTGTAGGCTGCTTTAAAGCATGGCAGGAACTTAAGCTTTGTGATGTAGTTAATCTAGTTGCGCATGAGGTCTTTAGCTTGGCGCCTATATGCCTTCTTTAGAGGGGCAAAACAGCCCATATTAAGTAGCTACAGGAGATGCGATGAGTGCAGAGGCATACATACAGTAATAATCTTGTTATCCTTGCAGTATTCCTAGAAATCTAGTAAGTTGTAGCTCTTATAACTATTAATAACTAGCAGACAGTAGCTGCTAACAGTACGCTCCTTTGTATGCGCATTAAAGTGCTTCAACTAGTCAAGACTAAGTTTGTTAGTAGTCTAGCCGTTCTTAGAGACCCTAATAACCTAATTATAGGGTAGATTATCCTCTTTGTACTAGTTTAAGAGGTGGTTGTGGCCCTAGAAGATGATAAAGGGCGGAATAGCCTACCCTTTAGCATTAATGCCCTTAATGACTGTTGTCCACTCCTGATTGCCTGGCTGGACCTGCTTTAGCTGTCCTTGTCTCTCTAAAGCTGTGACAACTGCTCTAGTGGATATCTGGCCCATTATGAAGCCTGTCTCATCGAAGTTGTACGTGTCGTTATCCTGGATGCCATACTTGGCTTTGATATTGGCTACCAGGCTAAACCAGCCCTGGATTATCTCAGGATCCTCGCAGAGGGCTCTCTTGTAGTCAT